TACTGATACGGAACACATCGATTCAGGATATCGAAAATAGTGTTAACGAATTGTGCTCGCTAGAAATTTATGGCAGTAAAATCAAGAAAATGTTAGTTGATTCACGTAAGTTTCTAGCAAATAATCATCAAACTAATGTGGTTATTCGTGATGTAACTGGGACTTCGATGCTTTCAGAAATTGCAAATTATATTAAAGTTTTTAATTTTGGCAGATTGGTTCCGGGGGCTGACTTTTACTAATTTTAAATTTAAATAAATATTAATTTTAATAAATATTAAGATAGAACAATGTGGTTTAAACATACACTGTTGATATTTATACTTTCTATATATTCATAATTTCTTGATTAACTGTTATATATTCTATTGATTAAGTCACTATTTCAAATAATTAATTTTAATTTTTTAAAGATTTTTGAATCTGTAGAGACCTCTGTAACAATTTCATTGTTCATACCGTGGCATTGAACCTTTGAAGTGCGTTGTGCATTAAAAAGGTCATTGATGATATTTCCACAATATTTTAATTTATGTAGTTCATGAATAATGGTTTCAATTTCGTCAACTGATATATAAAAATTATCAGTTTCCAACTTATTTCTAATAGCATTATACTCTTTTAATGAATCATCCAATCTTGTTATAACCTCCATGTTCTCGATATTTATTTGACCTTCAATAATATGAGCTAGATATTGTTCAAACGAATCGCTAAATAGTGTTAGTGTATTGTGCTTTAGAAAATGCCCAAACTTAGCCATGCACGTGATAATCATAATACTTTCACAATGCATTTTGTGTATCCTAGCACCAAGTTCCTTTAATTTCGATTTTTGTAGTTCCATGGCCTCGGTGTTAGAATCGATACATTTGCGTTTGTCGTCGTCCATGGCTTTGTCCACTGAATACTCCAACTCGTAATACACGAGTTTATGTGTCCGATAGCTATGATTACAACTCTGACACAATTCAAACTGTTTGCGATCGTGGGGCCAATTGGGTAAATAGCGGCCAATATCAGGGTAATGCCAATTCACACGAAGCATGGTGTGAAAAATGCTTAATTTTGTATATTTATTAAATACACGGCAATCGCGCAAGTTCACATTGCCTACTATTTCACCACCTTTAAGTGGTAGGAAGCATGGCGAGTGGCAAGGTTTTGGGTAGGTAGTACGTCGAATTGTTGTACCAGGGACAATTTCATTCTGACAACAACTCTTAGCAGTGCATACAGTGCACGGATTGTCCAGTAGTTTAGGTTTCAATGATTTGAAAGGAACGCCTACTATCGTGTTCAGCTCCTGTATGTCGCCCTTAAATTTCTTTATTACACTCATCTGTCTCTCGCAATCAATTATGTTTTCGGCGATATTTTTCGATATGTCGACCAATGGTTCAATCAATAGCTGGATATTTTGTTTAGCGTTATTGAGGGATATAGTGTCCATCACATTATAAGGAGTAAGGGATACGATGTATTGGAGTAGTCGAGCACATTCTTCAACGGATCTTAGTTTTGATAAAATCAAAGTATCATGGTAATTTTATAATATTGTTTATACAAAAACACATTATGTTATGTATCTTTCCTAACTAATGTGGTTATCTAAATTCATTAAACATAACATAATGCCATTGCTAATTTTAGCAAATATAATACTTACTGATTCCAACTCCGAATATATTCTTGCGTTAAATCGTCGCTAAACACCAAATCATTTGGAGGAACAGTAGCCGCCAGGTAACGAAACGACTCGTTATCAAAACAAAATGTATTACTTTTATTACAAGGTATGTCCACATTTGGCGGTTTGTTTTTAAGGGTGTTTAACAGCGACTTCAACGCATGTCCCGTATCTCCCGGTGAATACCGTGTAGACCGGGTGTTGGTGAAGAGGAACAGTATGTTATCGGCCGCAGACTTATTCAAGTGATTAAATAACTGTAACAAACAATATTTGAAAAGTGCGCCAATTCTGGCTTCGGTAGGCTTTAAGAGCACACAAATGGCTTTAATCTCACGATAATTGCTAATAAAGTTCAACAGATTTTCCATATTTTTATTATCTCTTTCAATGCCCTCTGTATCCGCAATACCGGGGGTATCGATGATATTCAGAGTTATGTTGCCATCAGTGAACCTATAGCACCGGGAGGTTTGTGTGGCCGATCTGGTGCTGTCTGTAGTGTTTTCATTGGGGTCTTCGTGAGGACACAACTTAATAGTTTTGAGTTCATAGGTCTCCTCATCTGATACCGTGAATGAGACGGGTATTAGACAGTGAGGCTGATCCTTGGCCTCAGCCATTGTCTCGTAAGTCATATAATTAACAAAGGCATTGATGAAAGTAGACTTTCCCACACCAGACTCACCCAATAATAGAAGGGTTATCTCATTTTTAGTCATTGTTTTAGCTATAATTAAATGTAATATAAATTAAGAAATAATTAAAAAAATTTTTGAAATATGTGTAAGCCTAAAACCATTTAAAGGTTTTTGCTATGTAGCGTTTACTGTATATGAAATATTTATTAAACTTCTATCATACCTTTATAATGAATAAGTTTAATAAAAGTATGATAGAATTTAATAAATATTTCATATACAGTAAGCGCTACATAGCAAAAACCTTTAAATGGTTTTAGGCATACACATATATTTAATTTTTAATTATTTATAATTTATAGTAAACAAAATTACTGTTATGTGTCATAAAGATATGTTGCTTAGCAATTTTATTTTTAAAATAATTGTTTAGTTAGGGATAAATTTTAATCAATAAATTATTTATCTATTAAGTTGACAACTATCAAATATTAAATAATTGAGTTATTTTTATTTTGTTAAAATTCTATGTTTCTACATATTTTAATATTGTAAAAATTATAAATAACTTTACTTGTTTAATTTTAATTACACACTCGCAATAATTATAATATATTCTGAAATGTATGTGCAAGGATAAACTCTACAAACAATTAAATTTATCTGACCAATAATAAATTACTTTGGGTTTGCATTATAAACGAGAAGTTAATATATTATAACAAAATTAGTAGAAACTTTTGATTATCAATCTATTTTATTTGGCATCATATATAAACAATTGAACCTTGAACAAACTTAATATTATAATTATAAATGAAAATAATTTTTTATATAACTATTATTTCTTATCTAGACCAAATAAAACATATTTTTCAAATGATGTAAAACTAATACTTTATAGACTTAACCTAATATAATAGGCTTAAAAATATCACATCTAAAATATTTGCTTAGATATGCCAAATAAACTTTGATTTCTATGAAGTGGTGTGAAATAAAATGTTATTGATAAATTATTTAATATTGTAATGTAGAATTCCGTTTATTTTAAAATTTTTATTTATATTTAACAACATAGTTATATATTAAATTTTATGTTTTAATTAAGGATTGTTTATAGAAGTAATTTTATTTATCAATTAATTAAACATAGTTTGACATTAGTTGTATTTAAATTTTAATTAAATGTTGGTAAAATTTATGATTCAAAATAAATTTGGTTATATTTTGTGAGTTTGAGTGTAGTAAATTATTGATTAATATTATCATATACTTAACAATAGATAAAACCGATATTTTTATTATATTTGTACATTTATAATATTAAGACGTTTTGTATAAAAGTATTTGAGTAAATAACTGAAAACATGTAATTTCTATAAATTACTATGAAACTATAACAATACGTATTATAAAAATACAGTAAATATTAAGATTGTATTTTAAAAAGTACACATTAGTGTTCAAAACATTTGTCCAAAATTTGGGTAAGCTATTTTCTATTTTAATAAAAAAATATAACTAAATTACCATGTAACAATGTTTATTTAAATAATAATAGCAATATATTGAAATAAAGATAGTATTTAATTATTTTAAAATAGATAATGTCAGCTGCAAAAGAGATCACAATCCTTGTAGTGGGTGAGTCGGGTACGGGAAAGCCTACTTTTATCAACGCATTCGCCAATTACTTAAAATATAAAGACTTCAACGATGGATGTAAACAATCAGTATGCTTAGAGCCGATTGAATTTACCGTATTTGATCCTGATACATGCGAAGCTAAAATCGTTAAGCTTGGTGAAGTTAATAATGAGTCAATTGAATCCAGAGTGCGACCTAAATGTCATAAGTTTCAAGTAAATGATATTGTGCTCAATATTATAGATACCCCGGATATTGATGATAAAGATGGCGATGAGAGAGACAACACTAATATTAGAAATATAATGGACTTTATAAGCAATTATCGGGAGATTAACGCCATTTGTGTGCTTTTAAAGCCTAATGACACTCGGGTTGACCTTATATTTAAGAAATGTTTGCTACGATTGTTGAGTCACTTAAAGAGGTCAGCCGTCGATAACATTCTCTTTCTATTTACTGACACAAATAAGCTAGGTAATTCACAAAGACTATTATTAAATGAACTGGGTCGTATTAAAGAGGATACCCCTGACATGGATATAAAGTATAATAAAGAGACAATTCATTGCATTAATTACGAGCCATTCAAATATGCCGTGGCTACAGCACCGGTAAATAATATGCAATTTAATGATAACATTAAAATGAAGCAGGATACCAATTGGGAAAAGTATTGAATATTTTAGTATTAGTATTTAAATGTTTAAAGACAAATTATTTAAAAATATTTATAAATTAACATGTTTTGTTATATTTAGATTAAATTCCAAATGCAAATGCATTTTGGATTATATATTGGCACTTTCAACAATAACTGTACCACCAAGGCCAGCAAGAAAACCTCTTAGGAACCCTGAGAAATGCCTTGTTAATAAACCAAAAGAGTTAACCCTGCTATTATTGGGTGAGTCGGGTGTGGAAAAGTCGACTTTCATCAACGCATTCGTCAATTATATGACTTACGAGACTATGGATGAGGCCAGGGATGGGAAGATTCAATGTCTATTGAATGATAAATTCCAAATAATGGATCCAGATACTTATGAGTCGTCCACTATAACAATGCAAACTAATGTTATAAATCAACAACAAAGCGCAACACCTATCTACCCCGATTTTAAACAATTCAATGAATCACCAAGTATCATTGAGCAATTTATTTATCCACAATGCTATACTTATTCAAATGATAAAGTAGTGATCAATTTTATTGTTACCCAGGACATTGCCGATATTGATGACAACGATACAGTCAATAAAAATAAACAAGATTTATTAGATGTTATGACCAATTATCAGGAAATTACAGCCATTTGTGTGCTCTTAAACCCTAAGAATTCTGAGATTGACTATATTTTTACGAATTATTTACTAATTAATCAAGTTAATAAATGGTTTCTTAATAATCTGCTCTTTGTATTCCCTAATACACGAAATCCTGGTGAAACTGTAATGAAAATAAAAACTGTAATTAATCAAATTAAAGAAAATAATCAAGATGTCCAAATTAAGGTTGATAAAAGTACTATATATTGCTTCGATAACCAGGACTTCCATTATCTCGTGGCTACTGTTCCCCCGAATAATATGCAGTTTAGTCCAGAGATGATACAAGATAATCAAACATCATGGTCCAAGTATGTTGCTCGTGTTTATTATAATTATTTTTAGAGACTTATTTTGTTAAATTTTTTATTTAAATCTAGATCAGTAATTGAATGCGAACGTTTCATAAAATATATATGTGATCTAAAACCTTTTACAACAAATAAGGAATCAATTAACCTTGACAATCGTGACGAAATTATTGAACATGATAAAGAAATTACAAATCAGAAATGTAAAAGTAAGATCCAAAATGAGCAATCAATTAACCAAGTACCTAAATCTCGAACGCAACTTATTAAACAAGAGACAATTAAGAGATCAATTGATAAAATTAATAAAATAATAACGATCCTATTATTAGGCGAGTCGGGTGTGGGAAAGTCTACTTTCATCAATGCATTCGTCAATTATATCACATACGAGACAATGTACGAAGCTAAATCTAAACCAATATGTTTGATACCGGTTAAATTTACAATTTCAGATAATGAGACATTTTTGCTCAAAAACGTAACATTAGGTTCTCAGGATAAAAACGAAAATACAAATGATGCAGGACAGTCTGCTACGCAATATCCTAAATGTTATAAATTTGAAATGGGCAATGTTATATTGAATATAATCGATACGCCAGGTATTGCCGATACAAAAGGCATCGAAGAGGATAATTCAAATATGAGAAATATATTGGACTTTATATCCAATTATCCCGAAATTAATTCAATTTGTGTGCTATTAAAGCCTAATAATGCCAGAGTTGGTGTAGTATTTAAGTATTGTTTGTTTCAATTATTTAGTCACTTGAATAAGTCGGCCGCCGATAACATACTATTCCTGTTTACTAATGCCCGATCTACACAATATGCTCCGGGAGATACCGGACCGGCATTACTAACTTTATTAAATCAGATCAGAAAGAGACCACCAAATGTGGACATAAAATACGGCAAAGAAACAATCTATTGCTTAGACAACGAGGCCTTTCGGTTTGCAGTGGCGTCGGCACCGCCTAATAATATGATGTTTGACGACATGTTAACGCGAGACTACGAAATTAGCTGGCAAAGGTGTGGTTTAGTACAACGAGTGCCAATCAGTGCGAAAAATGCAAATTAATGGTGAAATACTTGTGAATCATGAATTAATTTGTAAAAGTGTTTAAACAGTTATTTGCACTTTACGCACTAATTGGCACTCTGTTTAATAAAAAACCATTAATTGGTTAAAAATTATATGAAACAGATTTAATAAAAGTGTCTTATACCACAAACATATAGATCAGTCAAAGAATGCGATCGACTATTAGATAGAATCATATCCATTACCCCACATAGGGTGATGGACACCCTATCACTTAATAATGCCAAACAGAATATCCTTTTATTAACTAAACCATTGGCTGATATCGCTAAAAACATATCTGATAACGTCAAGCAATGTGAACGGCATAAGAAACGTATTCATGAATTCACTGGCGATATAAACGATCTCGAAAAGGAACTGTATATCCCTTCAGTGGACATCGAAACCGATCCATTAGAGCACCCGAAGACTGTTTGCAGTGATAAGGATTGCTGTACTCAAGAGAATATTAACGGAACTATCAAGTTCCACTACAAAACAGATTGTCATTCACCATGCTACTTGGATAATAGCGATGGCAACATTATAGGAAACCAGGGTTTATTAGATTGCCTGGCATTCAATGAGTACGAAGAGATAAGGGAACCCGAGTGGGTCGTACCTACTAATGTATTGCCCGACCAAAATATTACGCTAAACGACGAGGGTAAAGCATTTTTGCGTTTAGTAAGAAGGATCAAGTCAGAAACGTGCAATAAATGCAAACATTCGTATCAATCGCACCTACATATCAACTACGAGACTCGTTTGGTGAATAAACAGGTCAGGGATGAAACCAAATACCAGCGCATAACCACAGCTCAAGAGGCATCCGAAGCTCAACAAGCTCAAATTATGGAGCTCGAAGTCAAAATTAAGGAGTTGACTGATGAGAATACAATTATTACGAAGTGCATGGCTAAGTTTGCGTGTTTCCTTAAAAATAACGCTCTGACACCATTTAATGATGCATTTGAAGATTACGTGAACTTGCTCATTGCTAACGAGAAACAGGTAAGAAATATTGATAGTAGTAGCAGCATGGTTACGATTGATAAGCTTACACAATTACTACTGGGATATAAATACGAAAAGAATGTTATATTGGATGCCATGAAAAATAGTGATCAGGGAAATATCAAGATGTCGAGGATATCAGTTGAGGATATTGATCAAATTATCAAGCAACTATGTGCGTTGAAATGGAATGGAAGTGCAATTTCGTCATTATTGACAACCCAGATTAAATTGAAAGCTCAGAATCATAGGTTTAATGAGCATCATGTAGACACGGATGGCGGAAAGGGATCAAAGTTTTTAAAATTAAAAGCATTTTGGAATAAAATTTCCAATATTTAAACAATGATTAATTATAGTGCTCAAATTCATTATGAATTTATTTGAGAATTGTCATTATGAAAAATTATATGTTACTTTGTATTTAATAATCAAGAATTTTATATGACTACTGTTTATTTGATTATAACATTAAATAAGTTCATATGAAAACATACCTGGCTAGGATTCTTAAATATTCAAAATCAAATAAAATGGATATAATTAATATGTACAGGAATTCCATAGTGTCCTTTTCTATTCTCACACTTAATTATTCATATGGTATTGTATTAAACAAAGTCAAGTGAACTAGTATAGGAATGGACATTATTGAATTCACTTACACATATAAAAAAAACTCTCATTGTTGAAATTACTATCAAATCAAAATTTTTATAAATATACATATTTCATAAAAATTAAGATTTGATAGTAATTTCAACAATGAGAGCTTTTTTATAGGTATAGTTTCCAACAAACGTTTTGTTAAATTTTGAAACACCATGTCAAACTAAAAATTTTTATTTAAATTAAGAATTTTTGGTATTACCATAAAAATATATGAAGTTAATAATGACAAATAATAAAAAAATTATTCTATTATGATAATTAAATTAATATATCATCATTAATAATTCAGCGTTTAGCA